GCCCTTGTGGCAAGCCATGCTCTCTGAAGTGCTCTTCAACTCTGAAATTATCTACAATTCATCTCCTAGGAAAAAGGAAATCCTCTCTTTTTTGGGGCTTTACCTAAGAAATCCAGCTATTGCCAGATCTTATACACAGACCCTCCTTCTGTTCAGAGTCCTCCCCATTGGAACTAGATTCCATCACATCCAAATAGCTTGGGATACACCTACCACCTTCAATGACTCTAAAAGCAAGTGGCATTAAATACCAGGGACCTTGTGCTGACTATTTAACCTTTCTGAACTTCAGTAATTATGCCTGGCAGAGTCACTGTTTGGAATTATCTACTGAAAGGACAGTTGACTAGATGGAGGGGAGGAAGACTAGATCACACACCATAACTTCTGATATGATAAAAAGTTGACTCTAGGACTGCCATTTTCTCTGCCATTTTTAGCGCCATCAACCTTAGGGGTATAGAACCAGAGAGGAAAGGACTCTTTTTCCTGACCTACGTATCAGGAAATAAGCTGTTATTGCTTATTTTCTTAACCTCTCTACTCAGCAGTTAGTCAATGTCCTTAGGAGCACACTGAGAAAAGCATTTCTGATCACAATAAATAGATTTTATTAAAAGCTAAAGGCCTGAGGATTGTGGGGCACTGCCAACATGGACAGGGCCTGGCTGCAGAACCCAGTTCTTAGAATCTGTCTTACTTACAGATTTCCCAGGCCAGGTCCCTCCCAGAATTCTTCTCTAGTTCTGGCTTTGTTCTACTATTCTGAAAGTAACTAACAGAAAGAACGCAAAGGCCAGAAAGAACCACACGGTTGCTAAGTCCAAAGCCCTAGGAAGGCCAGAGTCTTTACTCAACAGTACTTCAGAACCAAGAGTACATCCACCCAAAGATGAGCAAAAAAAGAAAAGAAAAAGTAAAGCACTGGGTCCACAAATGGAATGAAAGCAAGACTGTTTTATCAGTGACCTTGGTGTTTAGACAAATGATGTATTGTCACCTTGTCTTTATCATTCTCTGAGGGATGTTCAGCAGGTCACAGCCCACTAATTCCTGCTACATTCAAGACCTCTCACCAGTGTGCAAACAGCTTCCTGAGCTGTGCCTCCACCTAAAAACCAGAGATGCAGCCTGGCCTCACAGAACTCAGCCCCCACCCTGCAATCAGGAAAAGATAACTTTGCTAAGACTTGCAGTGAAAAAGTACTATCTACCAAAGAGTATATTCTATGTGATTTCACTTACAGAACCTTCAAAATAAGACAAAAGTCTCCCATGGTATTGATAGTCAAGAGACGCTTGTGTCTGTATAAAAAGCAGTCCATTATCATTGGGGGAGGCATGAGAGGGGCTTCAGGAATCCTTGATAATATTTTCTTTGATCTGTGTGCTGGGTACATGAGTGTGCTCATCATGTGGAAATCCATCAACTTGTCCACATGATGATTGTGTATCTCTATGTATTTCATATATTGATGAAATGATTATTTTTTTTAAATCATTCTCTTTATAGACAGAAAGTAACCAAACCAAATCTGTTGCCGTGGAGTTGATTCCAACTCATAGTGACCCTATGAGACAGAGTAGAACTGCCCCATAGGGTTTCTAAGGCTATAATCTTTATAGAAAGAGACTGCTGTATCTTTCTCCCACAGAGTAGCTGGTGGGTTCGAACTGCTGACCTTTCGGTTAGCAGCCGAGCACGTACCCACCGTGCCACCAGAAAGTAGATTGTACTTATTGCTGCCTGCTTGCAGAATCCACTCCATGTACAAATAGGCCAGGAGATTTAAAAAAAAAAACAAAAAACAGTAAGCCTATTTTCTCACCTTAAATGGTTTTTCATGGTTTTCAAACTCAGTAAGAGACTGATTTTACTTTTTTTTCAGGCCAAATGTCAAGGCTTAACCAAGCCTTTTTCTGCACTTGGCTGGTCTCTAGATGGGCCTTCTGCCTGTGGTCCAAGAGACAGATCAACGAGTAATCCTCAGCCTCCCAGGGATCACATGAAGGAAAGCACAGGCTCAGTTAGGCAACATTCTCCAAATCACACAAGGAGTCGCCAGTGGGGGCTTTGCATTTCTCAGTCCAAGGACTATCACTTTTCTAAGACATCTCATTCCACAGGGGCCAATTAATAAACACTCTCCTTCGGGAAACTGAGACAAATGAGCCCACAGAACTTCACTGGCCTTTCTTTGTATACAAAGCACACAAAGAAGTGGACCAAGTTCCTCTCCACCAGGAAGTCATTTGTCTCAGAGAGCCAGGAAGAGGAGGAGGGAAGTGCTGAGCTTGCAACACGGCACTGCAACACAGCACAGTGTTTCTGTGGAAATGATGTTCCCCTAATCAAAACACAGTTGCATAAATGGACTCACTCCACTTAAAAAAAAAAAAAAAAGTTTAAAAGGCTATAAATGGTGGCCACACAATCCCGATTAATTTTTAAAGCTCTTTGCACACTTTCATTTTTAGAGTGTAGCTAAAAATAAAGGCTTGAAACTTGAAATAATGTAAGCAAGTATTCACACACACACTGGGGCCTTTCCCATATATGGCTGCATTATTCTTCAGTGAGTCTTCAGCCAGATGAAGAGATGGCCAAAAACGAAAATAATCCTTCAGACATTTGAAAACGAGAAAGGAGTAGAAGAGTGGTGAATGACAAACAACTGGGAGGCTCAATGAGGATAAAGAACACAGAGAGGGATTAGTTGCCATAGTACTTGAAAAACACGGGCACATGCATTTTGACACTGGACACCTTTCATAAAGGGACTGATTTGCCCTCTGGCCTCAGCACAGAGAAAACTACAGCTGCGGTGATTTAACATAAAGGACTTAAAGAAGAAAATCAGTGCAGGGGCATGACTGAAAATTTAATTAAGGCCTTTCTCAGGCACAAATCTGTAATGGAGATGAGGGCACATCTCAAGGTCAGAAAGAAGGGAAGGATCATGTGAAAAAGAAGAGCCCAGGGATTCAAATGAGATCTCAAACCAAACCAAACTCACTGCCATCAAGTCAGATCCTACTCATAGAGACCCCTCCTTGGGTTTCCGAGGCAGTATCACTATGGAAGTAGATTGCCTAACATTCCTTCCTTCCTTCCTTCTGAGGAGTGGTTGGTGGGTTTGCAACCGCAAGCCTTCTGATTAGCAGTCAAGTTCCTTAGGCACTACTCACCAGAGCTCTCTCGAATAAGATACAAAGCATAAATAGCAGAGGTCAGCTCTGGAGGCCACTTTCATTAGGATAAATGGTTCAAGATGGGTCCTACTTAAAACCTTTCTCTAAAGATTAACACATTCATGTTGTACCAATGCCACTTTGTGAAAGGCAGAGTGGAAAAGCTACATTTGCATATTGTTTTATGGTACACAAAGCTGTATCACAGACATACTCCTGGACACAAGGTAAATAAAGCACTTGCTTTTACTACTATTGGGGGAGCTCTGGTAGCATAGTGGCTAAGACACTTGCCTGCTAACCAGACGGCTGGCGGTTCAAACCCACCAGCCACTCCTCGGAAGGAAGGTTGGGCAATCCTACTTCCGTAGTGATACTGCCTCGGAAACCCAAGGAGGGGTCGCTATGAGTCGGGTTTGACTCGACGGCACATAACAACAACAACAACACTATTGGAGTCCCCTGGTAGCACAAATGGTTAAGTGCTTGACTACTAACCAAAAAGGTTGGTGGTTCAGACTCACCAAAGGTGCACTGGAAGAAAGGCCTGGTTCTGAAAGGTGAGCCTTGGAAACCCTGTGGAGAGTAGTTCTGTTCTGCACACATTGGTCACCATGAGTCAGAAGTGACTTGATGGCAACTGGTGTGGTTTTTTCATTTTTATTAATATGGAAACTGAAGCTCAGGAGGGGCTAAGTCATTTAACACAAGGTCTACTTAGTGCGAGAGGGCTATAATAGAGATTCCAAGCTAAGCCCTTTCCATATATCATCTGTAATCGCTATAACTATGGGAGCTCTGGTAGCATAGTGCCTAAGGCACTTGACTGCTAACCAAAAGACTGGCAGTTCAAACCGACCAGCCATTCCTTGGAAGGAAGGTTGGGCAATCTACTTCCGTAGTGATATTGCCTTGGAAATCCAAGGAGGGGTCATTATGAGTCAAGTCTGACTCCACAGCACATAACAACAATAACAAAGTTATTATTGTCTCCACTTTATATATAAGAAAACAAAGGCTCAGAAAAGTTAAGCAACATGGCCACAGAAGGTCATCCCAGTAACTGCAGGGCTAGGGTTTAAATCATTGTCTGCTGATTACAAATAATTCTCTCCTTCCATGTGAAAGACCAAACCAAACCAAACCAAACAAACCTGCTGCTGTAGAGTTGATTCTAACTCACATCAACCCTACCTGGGTTCAATTCACAGCCAATGCACCTCATCTCATGCACAGTCACCAACACCTGTCTGTCAGTGGAAGCTTGCATGTTGCTATGATGTTGAACAGATTCAATGCAGTTTCCAGACTAAGACAAGGAATAAAAGCCTGGTGATCTATTTCTGAAAAGCTGCCAATGACACTCTATGAATACCAATAGTCTGATCCTACGGAAGGAAGATGGGGCAATCTACTTCCGTAGTGATACTGCCTTGGAAACCCAAGGAGGGGTCGCTATGAGTCGGGTCCGACTCGACGGCACATAACAACAACAACAAATTATACATGGGGTCATCATGAGTTGGGGACAGTCCTTTGGCAGGTAACAACAAAGTCAACATGTGAAACAATCAAAGGCTCTAGATAATGCTGCTTGTTTATGATTTCTTCTTCCACCATCTCTCAGAATGGGGAATCTTCCAGGTGGTCATAAATCTCTCCTACTAGAAAACAGAGGGAAAATGGAGGATAAAGAGGGCGGATCTGAGGTGGGCTGAGCTGATGGGATGGTAAAAGTGACCCCAAATACCTTCCCCTGCACAGTGGGATCAGGTCCAGAATTGTGATTTCATTTCCAAATCACTAACCTGGTGGGGCACAAGCCCAAGAGAGGTTGGAGGCTCATTCATGCGGTCATCACTGCTGCTGGCAATGGCATAGCCCCTGAGAAAAGGAAACAATTAGAGTTGTTCATTTAATAAAAACTTACACTTAGAACATGTGAGGATGATCTGGAGGAGGTCCATGTAAAACTTATAAGGACAACCACAATGCCCCTAAGCTAGTGGAACAATTATTTCCCTGGGAGACAAGGCAGGAAGAATAAAAAACAAACAAAAACCATGGGTTTTTGAGTCAAAAAGACCAGTGTTTGTGACCACATGCAAGTTGCTTAACTTTTCTGTGCTTCAGGTCCATCATCCATAAAACATCTAAGAACAAACAAACAATATTTCTTATTTTAATAAAACAAAAATAAGGTTGTCGTAAGGGACAGATTAGGAATACACTGATAAATCACCAAGTACGGTATTTGGCACATGATAAGTTAACAAAAAAAACCTGAACTCATTGCCATTGAGTCAATGCTGACTCACAGCAACCCCCTTTGGGTTTCTGAGGCTGTAAATCTTTACGGAAGGAGATCACTTCATTTCCCTTCCAAGGAGCTGCGGGTGGGTTTGAACCACTGACCTTCTGATTAGCAGCCAGATGCCTTATCCACTAGGCCACCAGAGCTCCTCACATGGTAAGTTAAACCAAACAAAAAAACAAAAACATGGTAAGTTAGTAAACATTAATTCTTTTTCTCTGAGATAGTCTTGTAAAATACCATAGCACAATTTTGCATTGATATGTAGAAAGTGAAATTATTCTAATCTTAATTTCTTGAGCTGATATGACTGCCACCAAAATGGAGGAAGGAGAAAGAAAAGTGAGGCATAACTTGAGTAGGAGAACTCACTCACTCCTTCCTGAACAATGGTGTGAAGTTTACTTAAGTTACAGAGGAGATACCACCCAGAGCGTGGCTTTAACCAGGACTTTGAACCAGTTCTTCCCAGTTCAGGGACAATGAAGTGAAACCAGACCATACTTGAACTTATAAAATGTGGATGAACCAGAATGATAGCTGGAAAAGTATACATCCTACAGAAACTTAGTCTCCTTCTTGGAAAACAAGGGCAGCATGTGCACGGCATAGCAACCAAATCTCTTGATTGGCAGAATCAGAAACAACGATGCTGTGCTCAAAGATGGCGGCCAACCAAACTTCTTTGAATGCTGTCATTCTTCACAGTCCTGGCAATAATCTAATCTCTTGCATTAGGCTCCTGAAAGGGCTCACTACACCTCTTCCAAGTCTCTCATTCCAGGTCTTTGATCTGTAATTTTTCCCATTCCAGTTACTTTTTTGCTTCACCAAAATTTTAAAAATTTGTGTCTGTTCCAAGTTTGCTGCGCCGGCCATGACTGAACTGGTTGGGGCCAATTCAAAGCTCTGGTTTTAACTTATGACCAGGACAAATGTGGCAAATAGAGGGCACAGTGTTGAGGAATCAAGTTCAGCTTTCAAGATTTCATCCCAAATACTTCTTATCAGGAGGTCGCAATAAACTTAAATGGCAGAGAAAGCTAAGGGAGATGCCAAAGAGTAAGACAAAAAATGCTGCTTATTTTCATTTAATTCCAGAATGTCAACATCAGCTACATATGCTACCAAAAGGTATGCAGGTTTGCTTTTCAACTGCTTAGAAAAGCTTTGAGTAATACAATAAATGGAATATTGATGTTAATTTGCATATAGGCCTTCTGAGAATTGGAAAAAATAAATCCTACAAAAATCTGATGCTCTCCTGCCTCTATTAAAAATAACACAGCATAGTGATTACACTATGGAGCCAAACTGGCCATGCTAACTAAATCCCTGGCCACTCCACTACTTAATAGCTCCGTGAGTCTCAGCAGCTTACTTATCCCTTCTCTCTCTCCAAATCATCAAAAAAGGAACTAATCATAAGTTCTTTGCTAATAGGTTTGCTCAGCAGATTAAATGAGTTAATATCTGTAAAGTCCTTAGAACAGTATCTACCATCATGTAAGCACTACGTAAATGTTTTTTTAAAAAAATAGATCATAGTGTATTTGTCATATAAAGAAACCAAAATACAAAGGTCAGCACAAAAAA